AAATGAGAGATGTTTACATGATATGATAGAAACACTACTTAAATAGCAGCTGAGTTCATAAATCAGATGTGGTAATTGTCTGGGAGTGGCCTAATATTCTAATAAGCACGCTTAATTGACACCCACAACTCCCAGCCACTCATGCAGATCTACACACAATGGAGTAGCACATGGCAGTAAAGTACAACCAGTGCCTCTGTGGAGCACTGAGTGCTCTTGCTGGAACACAAACTGCTTCAAAATGGCACAACAAATAAACACTTTTCGGCTGCAACTTCACCAAACATAAGATAGCCCATAACTGCAGATTTATCCGAATGCAGCAATTAGTTACTACTGAGCCCCCAAAATGCTGTTCTGAAAAAAGTGCAAGAACACTGTGTTCTCTTGCAATATTTTTGCTTTCCTTTGCAAACATTTTGGGTTCCCTTGTAAAATCCTTTGTAGTATTTTCCTGGGAATGCTAAATTATTTCAAAGGAAAGCAAAATTATTCTGAGGGAATACAGAATTACTGTGAGAAAATGCAAAATCACTGCAAGGGAATGTAAATTATTGTAAGGGAACGCAATGTCATTGTGAAGGAACTTAAAATCATTGTGAGGGAATGCTAAATTATTGCGAGGGTATGCAGTGCCTTTACCTTTTTTTTCAGCACTGGCACTAATCAGTAAACAGATAATTCCACAAATTATGACATTTTTTGCACTGTTTGCAGCTGCTGCATTATTATTTTGGCACTGCTGCCTTCGTTTGTTCACAGCTTTCACAAACAGCCCAGCGGTCACTGCACAGCGGCCCTGACCAACCAGCTTAGCAGCACTGTTTTCCCTCAGCAGAGTCACTGAAGAGCTTTCCGTTCAGCAAACAACACAAACAATGCCGAAACAAAGTGAAGTGATGCCATTTCTCTGAGCCTGCTACTGCTAGCTAAAATCGCATGATGAATTTTCACCTTGAATATAACTTCCTATAAATATCTGCAAAAGCAGAACAGTAAAGCTAAAGACAAACTTTACACGCCATGAACAAAAATATGCAATATTCAATTTAAAAGCTTTAATATGTCTGTGAAATTTAAATGTATTAGGCATAATAAGTCTGGCAGGCAGGCGCTTGTGAGGACGAACGGCCTGCCAACCACAGCGCAGGGGGCGGGGCTCGTCGGAATACGGGTGGGGAAAAAATCCTCCTGGGCGTCGAACAGCGGTGGAGAAAACGAGCCCAGATCACAGAGAACAGGTGAAGTTCAGAAAAGCAGCTCGCGCTTCTTTCTCCCTCAGACTGACTCTAATGTTGGACATGGCGGGGGCAGCGAGACTCAGCTTCGCCGTCGGAGTTTTGACCGCGGTTCAGTTTAAGTTCACCGTTGAGGGGATGAGAAGAAGTGGTAAGTGACAGGAAACTTTCTGTATTATTCAGTGACTGAGATGTAAACAAAGTCATTCAGATTTGTTCGATAAAATGGTTCACTTGCAGAGAAACATACAGACTCTGACCTCTTTACAGTGGTGGTGATAGAAACAAGGAGTCCTGATATCTACAACGCAAACACAGCCATTTTATTCACTATCCAAAACCACAAGTGAACCTACATGTGTCTTCTGAGTTTTTATATGTAATGATGATGATGGTAAAAAAGTGGTCAATCTGAAAAATTACGGTTTGTTTGGGGACTATTCTACCTTATAAAACCTGTATCCCTCCACCATGAAAATATTAGAATAATTGGATTAAAATATGTTTTAGACCAAAATGTCTCAGATATCAGACTGAGTATTCATAACCATTTAATGTAATAACTTTCTGTAAGGGAGCTTTTAGAGGTGGATGTCTGGTTCCTATAACTAACACTGTTAACAAATCTGACTCTGTACATTTCTCCTCAACAAAGCATTTCACACCAAACCAGTATGAATGATTTTGTTGACATGTTAACCATTTAATTATGCAGAATCAGTTCCCCTTTAATGCCTCTAAAAGCTAGGCAACATAATGTTATTACATGAAATGCTTGTGAATACGCTGCCTGATGCCTCAGACATTGTTTTATGATAGCTTTGAAGAAGATTTTGGCCTAAAATATATATTTTTTTAATCAATTCATGATGAAGAAATACATTACCACTATTTTACCATCATGAACTTTGCATATGAAAACTAAGACAACAAGTGTAGTTGTCTGTGTAGGTTCTGGATAGTAATCTGGATAGGATCACTACCTCTGGTCCCTGTCAGCACCACTGTAAAGAAATGAGTCGGCAAGTTTCTCTATAATAAACAGATTTACATCAAACCCCTGAATGACTTTGTTTATGTCTCAGCAGTTGAATAAGGCAGAGATTTTATGCTCCTGAAGTAGTTTGTGAATGGAGTCATTGATGTGGCAGAGAGAAAACACCAAACTTACCCTTTTAAAACAGTTTTCTAACACTGTGTGAAACTCTGAATCAGCAATGAAGCTTCATATTCTAAATGCCTCTGGCCACAAACTCAGGCTGGACTTTGTGTGAAGAGAATAACAACATGAATTCTGATTTAAACACATGGAAAGCTGAACACATTCCCATCAAAATACTGCCAGTGCCCTGTATTGTCCCCCCTGCCTGCCACTGTGAGGAATGTGAAGCATGTTTCACTCTGTCTTGTGAAAAGAGAAAGGAGTTTGGCTGCAGTGTCACTGGCAGGACAGGAGAAGGTGTTTATTTGCTCTGCTTTCGTAGCTGCCCCAGTCTCACAGCTGCTAAACACGTGCTAATTGTTGATGAGCTGGATTAGTTGTGGTCAAAACCAGGGGCGATTTAATGCATGGGCTTATCTGGGCTGAAGCCCAGGGACCCCTGAATAATTCAGGGCCTGTGATTGGCCGTTTTTCTTTTTTTTTTTTTAAATGAGATTTATTTATTCATTATACCCAAATTGATAACAGGCCTACACAATCAAATAGGGGGAAAATATTTAGTATTACGTATAATATCTGAAGCTCCAGTTGTGGTTAAAAAATGTAGCTTAACTGAGTAAGTGCAAAGGTGACAATCCATCCCACAGAGTATGTCAGTTTGTACTGTCATTGTCAGTTTTCTGTGCATTTGGCACTTGTACTGCTCTTTTACTACAAAGGCTGAAACGGGCTTTTAGAAAATGTCAAAGCAAACAACTAATGTTACTTCAGTGCATTAAAGGTAAGACATTAATGAACAGTAAACATTTTTCATGCCTGCTGTGGCAATATGTTTTACCTACGATGCTTAGGTTTAGGTTTTTAAGTTTGTTATGTTGCTTTTCCTTATCTTTGTACATCTTCTGTTTGATTTTATCTCAGTCTTCTTTGGCTTTTGTGTCTACCTATCCACTTTTTGACAGGCCTACCCAATGATTTATTTCTGCATACACCTCTGGATGAAAGAATAGACTATAGGTTGTCATAGATTTTGGTTGTTTTGGTGATTTTGATGGTTTTACCGAGTAAACCGTACCACATAATGGCTAGCATCATGCTGATTTTGGCAGAGGGATGGGACATCCTACCCACCCAGAAAGTCCAGCTATGCTCTCTGGTGTCACCAGGGATTGAACTCATGATGTCCGCTGGAGAAGCATCGCTTGACAATTGTACAGAGCTCAGCTTGCGCATTTGAGCTTAAGTTGAAGTTCATCTCAAGTTCAGTGCAAATTTCAAAGCTCGAGCTGTGTTTTTTTGTGGTTTGGTTCTGTGTTTAAATTTGGTGAGGCTGAAACAGGTGTCCTTTTCTGGCAGCTTCTTCATCAAATTTTCCATTCCACCTTACATGGTGCAGCGGTCAAAGGCACCAGAATACAACTGCGGCACCATATAAGGTGGAACAGAAAATTTGAAAAAGAACCTGGCAGATAAGAAGCCTGCTTTAGCATCCTTTGAGTTTGTGCAGTAATAGAGAGATAATATATGGCAGTATTGGAAGTCGCTGATTGGTTTTAAATCTTTGGACGCTGTGTGTAACTAGACCCATAGGGCCCAAGACCACCTGTAGCCCCAAGGCCCATGAGTAGGTTGAAGCGCCTCTGGTCAGAAAGATTGAATTTTGATGTGCCATGAAGTTGAAACAACAGAACTGAATTGGTAACACTTTCCACCTCACACAGAATGGCTGTGACTTTGTAATTGGAAAAAAAAGTGATTTTCAAAGGTGTGCATTCACTCGTCATATTAATAATTATTATTTTATTCAGTAATAATTTATACGGTGTAGAGACATAAACTACAGAGAAACTAGACATCAGAAGGTATTTCAGCAATATTTCATGCTATTTAGGGGAACAACAAAAAGTTCTGAAATGATAAATAGTATACTTTAATAATCTATTTATAAGAATTTCTTATCAAATATTCTGCCTCAAGATTTCCTCACTAGTTCTCAAACATGAGGCACTCTGAATATTAATTTTCTTATAAAGTCATTCTTGATGTTATACAGCTCTCACATTTTAGAATATTATGCAGCTCTGTGTGCAGTTGTAAAATAGTAGCATCAGATCATATGTGTTTCATTGTAGTGAAAAGATTATGTGCTAGTGCATGTGATGATTTGATTCATCTCCAACTAGCAGCAGTCTCATATGCAATGCCTGAGGGCTTTCCTGATGAAGTGAGGGCAGCCATGGACTTGAAACTCCACAAAGAGCAAAGAGAGCCACAGGCGAAGCAGCCGGCCTCCCCCAGATACACAGGCCACTCGCAGGGCCAGTCAGGTCCAGGAGCGAGGGCAATACCAGGAGCACGGCAGGCCCAACTCCGAACGTTTACATGAAGTAGTGACCAATGAGAGCCATGGAAACAACTCTCAGGTCGAGGTACTGGCTTCCATAAACTAAAGTTCAAGATGACCTGGGGTGTTTAACAAGGCAGGATTTCTCAAAAAGCCAGATGACTTCAGCTGTCTAACAGGAGAAGCAAGAGACATTTCTGTTGTCTGGTCTTTACTTTTAGCGCTTAGTTATCCTGCTGAACTGAGAAATCCTGCTTTGTGACATAACCCTCTGTTTTTTGGGATGCATATTTCCATCTTTTTTGCTTACATGTTCCCTTTACCTAACAGCGAGACATGGATCATATCTACTATGTCTCCAAAATCTACACACTCACGGATGCTGCAGGCAGGGACTTGTGGATAAACATTGAGCAGATGGACAAGGGAAAGGTTCATGGTGTCCTTTCCAACACCCACAGACAAGCTCTGGTATGGCTGTGCAACCCATAGACAAGTGTTAGAATTACACTGAATGTTATTGCTGCTCCAGAAAAAAATCACATCTTCAAAACAGCACCTTTTTAAGAGAAGGAAAATGTCTATCTTAATTACAGAGGAAATGCAATCTTTGTTTTTTTACCCAGTTTTCCCACAAATTTAGTCATGGCCAATTCCCACCCCTCTGGCTAGGTTTCCCCTTATCACACAGTGCTACCAAGCTGGGAAGGGAATGGCTAGCACATGTCTGCTCCAAGACACTTGAAGCTAGCCATTGCATCCTTCCAAACTATCGCTAAAGCAGCGTCATTGGACAGCCCGCAACGCTTAGAAGAGAATGCTGACTGCCAATTCTGTTACGTCAGCTAAAAGACACCCACACTGGCTAGCATCATGCTGAGTAGTGGGGGGACGTCCTAATCACCCAGAGAGAGCAAGTACAGTTATACTCTCTGGTGTCACCAGGGACTAAACTTATGATCGCCCAACAACCAGGCCAATGCTTAGTGTTTATCATTTTTAGCATTAATTTGCTGTTATATTAAAAGTTGCAGATAATGGTTTATGGTTTCGTCTCTCACTAAAACATTAATTTGTCTGAAAGTTTGATTGTTCGGTTGTTTTTACAGAGAGTCAACTTGTCCTTTGAGTTCCCTTACTATGGACATTTACTGAGAGAGGTCACAGTCACTACTGGTGGTGAGTATTCAACATTCTCATCAATAATTTTATTAAAAAGGTTCTTTTGTAAAATAAATCTCCAAATGTGTACAGGTTTCCTCTACACAGGAGATGTCATCCACAAGATGCTGACTGCCACTCAGTACATCGCCCCGCTCATGGCCAACTTTGACCCTAGTATTTCTCCCAATTCCACCGTCATTTATTTTGACAATGGTATAGTGCAGCATTGTTTATATCCAATGGCATTTCATATGTGAGCAATTCTCTTCCAGTTGTTCTAATAGGAAAAGATGAATTTACACGATTTGTCTCTTTTTCTTAGGTACAGCTCTTGTTGTGCAGTGGGATCATGTTTACCTCCAAGACAGCTCACATTTAGGTAGCTTCACCTTCCAGGCCACTCTGCACAGAGATGGCAGGATCACCTTTGCTTACAAGGAGGTTTGGAATTGTTGTATTTTAATTGCAGAAATAATAAGAAACATGAAATGTTCCTAAATGCTTCTTGGCTTGGATGGTTCTAGGAAAACCTTTAATTGGCACAGAACCTTGACATTTTGTGGAGGTTATTTAAACTTTCTTGACTCTCACACATTTAAAGAATCATCCATTGAAAAAGTGATTTATCTATGAAAGAGGTCCTCAGATCCAGACCTTAAATCCATCTGTTTTTTCTAATCACTGATGGGTATGACACTAAGTCAACAGTTCAGTTAACTAGCAGTTACAATTACAAAATCCAGGACCAAACATGTGGAATTGCTCCAAAGAACACTTTTTTGGCACCTTCACGTTTGAAAGTATGATAATGGTATTTTCCTTTTACTATTCAGATTCCCGTTCACATAAGCGAGATCAGTTCAGTGAATCACCCTGTTAAGGTTGGCCTCTCTGATGCCTTTGTGGTGCTTCATAAGATTCAGCAGATTCCTGGTTAGTCTCTTAACTTTGCTTGTAAGGCATTCTTTTATTTGGACATTTCTATTTAAACAATGATGCTTTGTATGGACATGGACATGCAGCTCTAACGCTTGTATTTCTCCTTCTTAAACAGACATCCGAAGAAGAACAATATATGAATACCATAGAGTTGAGCTTCTAAAATCCAAGATTTCCAACTGCACTGCTGTTGAGATTCTGCCTCTGCCAAGTGAGTTTGAAGCAATGCTGCAGCCAGAGCTAATGGGATTAGATCAGCCTTTGTTCTGTTTTCAAGACCATCGTGCCAAATGTTATTTCTCTCAGTGTAGTGGTGTGTATTTGTTTGTTTAGTGTGAGGGTACTGCGAGCGCCCTCCCTTCTTTGTCACCTCTGTGCTAAATTGTGCCACTGTTTCCTTCCCTTCCCACGATGCTAGCCTGCCTCCAGTTTTCCAGCTGTGAACGCTGTGTTACAGCTCACATTGGCTTCAACTGTAGCTGGTGCAGCCGCCTCCAAAGGTATTGTTCCACATATGTTCCCCCACAGTGTAATTTATTTCAGTGTATTCATGGGACTTAAAAGCGATCATCCTGTGAGAAATCAAGTTTATATACTTTTTTCACCTTCCTACAAATATAGTCAATCATCCAAGACATGCTGTGTATCTGAAATATGCTTTAGTTTTACACTGGAGCTATGAGGCTAATGTACAGTACTGTGCAAAAGTCATAGACCACCCTTCATCTATTTCCAGTCAAAACAATGATGTAAGTTATTCCAATTTTAGTGTCAGGGGAGAAAAAGCAGAAAATGTGTTACAGACAAAAACTTAATTTTAGACTTTTCAGTATTTAGTGCGACCACTCGTTTTGGGAGACTTGCTTTCAGTTTTGCAAAGAAATCTGCAGGGGTATTTTTCCACACCTCCAAAGTTCAGTCATAGTAGTTTCTGCATCTCACAATCCAAGAAATCTCAAACACATTCAGTGATGTTGAGGTCTGGACTCTGGGGTGGTCAGTCCATTGTTCTGAGAACACCACAAGCTGCTTTGTTTGATTGGCAAATGTTCTTCTTTTATCTATTTCCTTTTCTCAGTAAGAGCTTCTTGACAGCTATCATCCTTTCAGGCTTATAGTGTTCAGTTGTCTTCTCACAGTGGAAGGATGGACAAAAACACCTGAAGATTTGTTTCTGAATCAATAGTGGGGCTTGATTTTCTCCTCTCTCTCAAAGATGAAAGTACTGTTTATCTGATGGAGATGGGTTTTGGCGGTCTACCAGGGTTGCACGCTCATTACAAGTCTGATTTTCTCTAAATCTTTCAAGCATTTTTTGAACTCCAGTTTAGTAAACTCTTTGTTGACTGAAAATTAAATAACTTATACCGAATGGCTGTTTCACCTGAAGATGAGGCCATTTAAGGGTGGTCTCTGACTTGCACAGTACTGTAGAAAACAAGTAATGGACGTCCATAGTCCACTATTTAGCATCATACAAACTGCATGTTAAAATCATCATACATAATGATTTCAAACGGACTTGCTTTTGTGGTTTCTGGTGTCGTGACATACTCTATAAAAAGTTTTTTTTTTTGCCAAACTATCATTTCAATGTCTGTCGAAGTTCACTTCGACAGACATTCGCCCTAACGCTCATAGAGGCATTTCCACACTCCAGTATGCTATTTGACTTCAGAATAATAAAACTTTAACTGGTGCAGAACAAAAAAAGAAAATGTTCCTGTGTAATTAAGTAAAGCAATGGAGCAAAACCCACATTGTGATTCTGAAAGCTTTTTGAGGAATGTGTGATCATAAAGACACAGACAGGATATCTCTAGAGAGCCCTCTGCTGTGCACTGAGCACGATTTGCTCTAAAAGAATGTGACATTAAATCAGAGTGAGTCATCAGCACGGCCTCCAATTTTGGGTTTACTTTCAAATAGGATCCTGTGGTGGCACATAGTAGTGTTCAGAAATTATATTTGCATTCTGATGTGCAGATGTTCCAGTGGCTTTGACCGAAATCGCCAGGACTGGGTTGACAGCGGGTGTCTAGATGAGGTATAACAATGTCATAAAACCATTCTGTCGGTTCTGCTGCTTGTTTGTCATCTACTTGCATTTTTAGCAGTGGTATGTCAATGTATTTTCAGATGAAGGACCAGAGCTGCAGTCAGACTGTAAATATAACCCAACGCCTCAGTGTAACCATTACACCTCCAGTCAATAGAGCCATGGACCCAGCAACTACTCTCAGGACAGTGAAGTCTAAGGCCACAGCCAAGCCTACCAGAACCTCCACAACAACCAGAGCAAGCAGTACATCCCCTCTTCCCACCATCACCCCTGCTGATGGTGAGTATCTACAATACAAGAAGAAATATGTCTATAGCATTATCTCTTAATGGGCCCATATGTTCTATATTATTATTGTATTTTATTGTTTTTCCCCCGAGGTCCACTTTTTCTGAGGTTTCACGTACCAAAAACAGCCACAATTGATTTCTACATGACTATTTTCCAACCTCTCTTCATCCCTTAGATTTAAACAGGCTGTGCCCCAGGACTGTTATATGTTATGATTGGCTGCCCTGTATTGTGCCTCATTCAAAATGCAGTACGGGCTGAAACACTCATATTAACTTTTGCGTAAATAGGCAGGGCTGTGGGCTTAAGAGGTGAATATGTGTAAATGTTTTGGCTTTCCTGACATTACAAAAACACTTAAGAATGAGCTGTTTTGCAGCTTAGTTTTCACATATAAACTATATGGACTGCGGTATGACCAAAACAGTTTAGATATTTAACAGTGTTTACAAACTACATCAAACTCTTTTATTAAAAAAAAGAAAAGCAAGGAAAATTCAGGTACTTTGGTTTACATGTTCTCTGAGCTTGTCTGAACACAACAGAACGTTAATTGTAAAGTGAATTTTTAATCCTTTAATTTAGCATATTAAATGTAGTCTTTTGGTGACTCATTTCTTACAAAGCAACAGAAAGTCTGAATTTGATTGTGAACAAAAGTATGAAAATTACATGTAATAAAAAAATATTAGGTACTATTTTTCCTTATCAAATTAGATAAAATGTGGCCATGAATAGGTTAAGCTAAGGTCTAGTAGTGCCCACTGGTAGACTTGGTGAAAGCAGATGCACTGTTATTTTTATATTTGTGATACTGTGCCCTTATTTGAAATTTTCCATCCAACTGTTATTTTTCAGTTAGGTTATTTTAGGCTTTATTAACATTAAATAGCTATGGTTTAATGCTGTGGATATTTGAAACAGCCATGTTCAAGTCTCTTACTTGGAATGAAGAGTAAGTTTTGCCTGAACAATGATTTGGCAGTTTGAACCTGAAATTGTATGTTCCATGTGGCACAGCATCCACAAATACAAAACCATTGTTTTCAATGGAGATATGCACAACTATAAAAAAAATAAAAATAATGTTTAAACTGTGTTTAAAGTGTACTCATTTTACTTATCTTATCATAATACTTACAGTTATGACTGAGAGGCATTCAATCCTATGAGTGCTGCGACAACAACTGGCGTTTTTAGTTTGTTACATTAAACTATTACTCTTTGTTTGGTTTAGGTAATGTGAAGGTAAATTCAAGATTAACCTTTATTTACGCACATAAACAACCAAAATCACGACTGTAATCTGTAGCATCCATATTGCTGTGTGATGTGCGTGCACATGAAGGCGAGTGGGAATACGGCAAAACACCGGCACTGTTCAACTCCGCAGTGCGCCACTCAGCATTTTGCCTTTACTGCGTTAAGTTAAAGCCATACCGAGATCACAGAAAGCCACAGTAGATGTGGCTTGAAATTTACACAGAGAAAGGCAGCCAGTGTTTTAGGTAAACAAGGCAGAAGATAATGCTCTATCACCTCAGCTAACGTTACTATATGAGCCTTTTTCAGCTCGTATCCTTCAGCTCCAAAATAGCCAGCCTGTGAAGAGGTTGTAAACTGATACCAAGCGTGACAAGTCATGCTGAGCGCTTGATTTCATTCGATTTATAGTAGAGTGTAAAAATAAACTTGAACCAAGCTTTTATCGACTCTTCCTACCAGTGCCTCGGGCACCAGAATGTAACCGCGGCACTACTTAAGGTGGAACAGGAAAGTTTGAATAACAAGTTGGATATATAAGAAGCCAACATCAGCCTTGTAGTTTTAATACTTGTAGTATTTATTTTTTTTTTGATAAGGAGATTTAAGCTATCAAAACATTTTTATTTATGAGGCTTCCTGCCCGAGTAGGTTTTGCTTGTGTGCGCAGTGCTATCGGAGACATTTTAGCTGCCAGCGTTGCCTGAGTGTTAACGGTGCCCTTCCTGCATACAATAAATGCATTAGCCATACTGGCCAAAATTAACCACCGGCCCAATGTCTATGATATTTAAAAAAGCAAATATTTGCCGAAACTGATTCTGACATCATTGTGCATCCCTAGGAAAATTATATGAACCAATAATTAACATGTTTTTCCTCCTCCGCTTCCTGCTGCACCTCCTGTATTACCAGGATTTCATCCTGCTCTTCCAGTGCGGGTGTTGGAGGTCTTGCAGGACACAAGTAATGCTCATGGCTGACTGCAGACTATCGTTCGGATCTGACTCCATGTTGCAGAATGCCCACTTTATTGCACCAATCAAATCTTGATAGACAAAGTCATGTCTAGAGATGAAACGATATTAAAATTTCATATCACGATTATCATGACCAAAATTATCACGATTATCGATATTGTTCAAAAGCGTTGAAAAGTAAAATAAATAAATACTGATACACAAACTGAAACTCGTTTCACCAACCTTTTTATTAACACAAATAGAATTGGCAGCAATATGCACTTTTTGTTTGCATAAACATTAAAAAAATATAGTCAATTCATTTGCAGTATTACTTTTGTATTACTTACAATACTCTGTAAACAAAAGAATAGCAAATGTATTATTATTACTGTTATTACTATTATTATTATTACTGTTGTAAATAATAATTATTATTATTACTGTTGTAATTATTATTATTATTATTATTATTATTATTAATTACAATAATTAGGGATTTCCATGCATAGAGAATTAAATCTGGACCAACTCTGAGGTGGGTCTTAATGGAAAATTACTACTTCTAAGAAGTGCTGCACTCGGGGGATTTCTGTCCGAACTGCAACTGCAGCATTATTGTGCCATTGTGGTGCTGTACCCCTAATCAATACAGTGCACCGGGAAAAATAGCCAAAATCACAGAGGAATTGCGTGACCGTGCAGACAGTGTAGAACTCACACAGTGTGTCTTCACCTGTGGAGCTGCTTCTCTAAAAGCATTTTAAAACATAACTTAAAATTAACGCGCATCTAAGCTGCGGCAGAAACACTCCTACGTTTAATCTCTGAAACTCTGCTTTTCCTAAAAGCAGCACACAGCGTTTACTTGCGCGAGGTCCCGTCTCAAAGCACACTATCTTCCCTATGTAGTGCACTTCGTGGATCATGAAATAGCAAATCCTTCACCCAAAGAGTGCAGGAAACGTTCACAATAACAATATATTAACAATAGGTTACAAATTCCCTATTTAAAACTCAATTGCTTGTTAATGATGATCGTGTTTGTTTGAACAGTAGCGCACTATGTAGGGGACACTGAGTAATTTGAGACGGTGTTATTCTCTTCTCAGAAAGTAAACACAGTAAAAGATGACTTGTAAGCTTGGATGTGTTGCCCCCTTTCGCCGCTATTCAAACGGTACTACTAACCGTCATTAATTTTACCGCGGTTTACCGTGAAACTGGTAACCGTTTCATCTCTAGTCATGTCCTGCTTATAATTATAACCTGCATGAATAAACTGTTTCACTTAACAATACATCAATGTAAGGATAAAAATGCATATGCATTTTCAATTCACGTCGACTTTAAAAGCAATGATAAAAATCTTTTCCTGGTGAGGATGTGTGATAACCTGTGGTTTGGCATCATTTCCACGGTAGCCAATTGGGCCTTTAATTTTGCAGGTTTTGCAAAACATTTTTCCAGATCTAAACAATTTAGTTCTATTAAACATATATGTCATTATTTAAGTGTATATTTAAAACATATATGTATACTAATGTCAGCAAAGGTCTTGTTGAGCAAGCAAGTTCCGCTCCAGCTGGCTGAGTGAAATGCGAATATCATCACATAAAAGAGTGACCATACTGTTAACAAGGCAAGAGCCAGGAGCACAAGCTATATATAATACTTACAAGGTCTTGCTCGTACATTCAGCCTGCTTCCTCCAACTCTGCTGTGCTATAAATCTGACAGGAAGTCACAGTCTGGCTTACATCAACTACAATTTACAGTCCATGGAGCCCAATAGCAAGACCTGCCTTTAATAAAACCCCTCATTTGGACCGTAAATTATGTTGAAAATAAACTTGATGGAATAAAGTTTTATAAGTTTCATTTGCAATTATGTGACCTCAAATTGAAAGGTTATTGTTTCATGGAGATGTGGAAAAGAGTGAAAATACAGACATCAAACTAAAAGCAGAGGTCAAACGTGCCAGTTATTATGATGGTATGAATCTTTTATTATTCTGTTGTGTTGCCTCCTTGCAGATGACACAAACATCGCACTTCATTTGACTGAAGATGGACGTGAGTACTTCAGTGAAACTCCCTTTTATTCTAATTTTAATGGTCTTAGTTAATGTAATGATGGATATTAACACTACTCACTCATTAGTGTTCGGAATCACTTCTCTAATTAATAATTGTATTTGTTACACAATAACAACTTCTACAGTGTAGTATTCAGTATTGGAAGCTAAACACTTTTTTTTTACTTTAAGTGCAAACTTCACGTGCTAAAATGAAAATGCATAAAACAATTGCAGTTTTTTAGTTTCACATGACACTAAATGTATGTAAAAAAAACAAGAATTCGACATTCATAAAATATTGCCAGCAGTTTACATAGCCTACATTGATAACCTTTTTCAGGCATTTTATAAAAAATTCTCTGGATGGAAATCAAGCTTCTGAAAGATATTTTAAAATTTTTGATTCAATTTTATATATAAAAGTTTTTTGGGCAAAAACAAGACGTTATTAAATGAAAATATACTGCAATTATTCACATTATTCGCATTATTTACAATCATTTACAATAAATTTTATCTAGTTTTGCCTATTATTTGAATTGATCACCAATACAAGGTAGCCTAGTTATTATAACATATCTACCAACAGATACATCTCTATTTATTATTATGGACACATCTGAATGTTAATTTTTTATTTTTCAGGTTTCTATTAATTACAACTTATTTTAAATTTACTAACTAATATACTATAAACAGGACTAGCATATTAGAATAATTCATACAACCAAATTAGTGTTATATAACTAAAAGCACTGATTCCAAACTTTTAACAGTAGTGCACATTTTGACAGTTGTATGCTGCAAATAGTTGGAGCACATGTTATTTGCTCCGACAGCCTCAGAGACGGAGAGCCCAGACAAGCAGAGTGAGGAGCGGCTGCAGACGAGTCTACTCATAGGCATTTTGGTCACTACGTTTGTTATGGTGGCCGCTATACTTGTCACAGTCTACATGTACCATCATCCCACCTCCAGCGCCAGCCTGTTCTTCATAGAGGTAAGCAGATTAAAGTTGTTTGTTTTGTTTTTTACAGTAAACAGAAATTGACAACAGTAAGCGAGGGACATCTTCAGATGACATATCTAGTAAGGATCAACACGAGACTGAAGTTATGTATTGCTGGATATCCTTTTACTTTTCATGTAGCATTGTTTTGCAAAATGACCTCTATAACTGGAAAAAAAATACAGTAATAACTTGCTTCCAACAGAGACGGCCAACACACTGGCCAGCAATGAAGTTTCGTCGAGGCTCCGGGCATCCAGCTTATGCAGAAGTGGAGGCTATGGGACGAGATAAGGAAGGCTTCATTGTAATTGAGCCTAAAGACAGCTTCATAATTTCAGACCGGCGGGAGAGCGCTTTCACAACAGACCAAAGAGACGGCTTCATTGTGCCTGACCAGAGAGAACGCTTTCTTGTAATGGACCACTGCTGACGCACAGTCCCAGTCTGAGCTGAATCTGGAAGAGACTTTTTGGTTAGAAACATACCTCGGAACAATGATGTTTTCTCCTCTCAACTCTTTATTTATTCTGCCAGCAACTGTGGACACAAATCAATGAACACTAAATTGTGAAAATGATGTTTTGATTTTTTAAGACGAGGACTATGGTTGTTTCAGAGGTTACACTGTATACTTTTGGCACTACATAACAGCTTCTTCTGATACTGGAAAAAATTTTAACAAGGTTTTGACATGGTGTGATGCTACACTCTCCTTGAGTGTTTTCACTCTGCAGATATTTTCAGCTATAAAGCTATCAACATGAAAAAGGACACCTAACACCAGTATTACAGTGTTGCAAGTAGCACATTTTGACATCTTCAATTTAAGCAAGAACAAATGTCAACATTAAACACCATTGACAATTTTGAATGTGTTCAAATATATTAATTATTTTTCATAGTTTTCTTTTATAATCAGTGTATTTTATTCATAGCCTTAAGAAGGAAAGGCACACTGCTGAAGCATCAGCTATTTTATCCAAGGAATACTGGGTTCCCTTGGTCTGTACACTGACAAGTGAGTATTCATCGTAACATGATCCTTTTTTAGCATAACATTTGTAATGAAAGTGCATGTGATTGAGAGATGATTGCATTATTTTTTTATTCATTACAGTAATTTACATCTTCACAATAAATTAGCATCTTTACAGAGTTGTCAAACTTCAGCAAATTAACACTATAGTAGGGATGTGTGATTCATGTGCTCTCTCTGTAAGTGTTCAGATGCTGACAGTTCTGAACATCTTTATCATTATTTAGTTGACAGACAAAACAATAACAGACAAAGTGGGCAGAAATGGCTCAATTGTTTGTAACAATGATTTGACCAACTGTTTAATGAAAAAATAACAGGCTGTTTATTGTAAAATAATTTTAAATATAAGGATTTGATTTTTAGACATGTTCTTTCTGTTGAATGACTTGTTGAATTACCTTATTCACAACAAAAGAAACAAGCTGACAGTTGTTTGCAGAGACTGATCCAAAAATTCTTCATAATCTTTTCAATAAATTTAATTATACGCATCAGGATCACCAGCAAAATAAATGTTCTTATTTAGACACACAAACAACGGCAAGATTATGAAAAGATGTCATACTTGCCATTTTGCACAATACTGTTGGTGTTTTTTTGTTCTCACCAATCACCAGTCATGGACTGACCCACAGCAGTGTTGTGGAAAAATACCTCAAATATTGTCAGAGTGTCTCCCTATGTCCTCCCAGCCCTGGTTGTTGGTTTAAGGCAAACAGCATCGGTCAGCATGGAGTGCAGGGGTTTTGGTCAAGGCTAGAAGTAAAATGCTGTTCTGTGCAGCAGTTCACTGCTTGAAGGCACAAGTGAACAGAGGCTCTGCTGTTTTGGCAGGGATGTTATTTGGCTGCGCAAGTTGTTTCCTGAGCTCTGACCTGCACTAGGCCTTTTTATCTGAAAACATATGTAAAAACACTCATTAGAAAAACAAGAACACTGTAAAATCTATTAACAAGTACCATATAGTGGCCCCAAAAAGTATTTGAACAGTTGTGCCATACTTAAAAAAAGTATTAGGTTCAACTGTGTTTGACAGACTGTCAAACCAAGTGACATTTATTTTAATCAGACCATTCCGAGACTAAATTTTTCCTCTTTTCACAAAGTAGTCATTCGAAAGGCAGCAGATGTGTTTAAAGCCCTATTTGAGCAGGACTGGTTTACCTGGGGAGTTGGGGTAATGTCACTGTACCTCACTTTGTACTTTTATGAGTGATTTGCACGGGATAAGCAATCTCAGTTTAAATGACAGAGATGTGAATGGTTACTGGAATTACATGCCGCCTTCACTCCAGAGAAGAGTAGCAGATATGTTCAAATGTTTCATTTAGCCATTATTTTGTTTGCCCTAACCATTTACCTTGCTCTCTTAAGTGAATGCAATGTGTCATTAACATCATCATTGGCTTGGGAATTCAATCAGTCAACTTTACTGCATAAAGTTGTTTTCTGTAATTTTCACGTTCTGAGTTGCACACGTAAGACAGGACAGTAACGTTACATATCAGCCTGATTTTAGCTACAGAGATGAAGGCTTGTTTGAATTTTCCTGTGCCACCTTAAATGGTGCAGCAATTACAGTCTGGCGCCACAGCGTTTAAAGTAGAACTGGAAAATTCGAACAAGAAGCTGGCGAATAAGAAGCCGACTTCAGCTTCATCATAGAACTCAAGTAAGTGCTTCTCAGAGTGCCTCCAAACTTGAGAACCTCCTTTTCCACCAGATATGATAGCATTTTTTCTGACATGTCAATTTGCAAAGGATTACCTTGGGTTATTTTTACAGCTCGTCTTACAGAAGGTAAATGGCACCAGAATCTTTACTGACACGGGAATGTGTTATCACTTGAGCAGTTTCACATCCAACATGCCTTTGTACACTTCTAAGTTAATGATTCCATCAGTGAATACAGCCTCACCAACAACACTATAAGGAAAATTCTTAGAGTGCTTTACAGTACTGTTGGAAATCTTCTCCAGGCTTTCTCCGCACCAGGAGTCTATGATCAGTCTGACGTTGTGCTAAAATCTTTCTCTGAAACATAATTTTCTTTAACTGTTAAATGATGGAAGTGTCCAAATACTTTTGGGGTCACTGTATGTAATGTTAATGCTGGGAAGTGTACTGTGTTTTACGACTGTTGTAAAAGTAGCTGTGATATAGCAGGTCTAGGCCAGCTTGTATACTCTTACCTTGCATTGGAGGTGCTGGTAGTCGGCGCCGATGCTGCCTAGATGAGTCTATGGTTTGTGGCTGCAATAAAAAAAAATATATATATATATATATTTCCATTTGCATGCAGGCAGGTGTGTGCAAATTTGCAGTTCACTTGCTTCACAAAAGTGCCAAATGCTCGAAACACTGACATGCTAAAAAGACATGCCTGGATTTTGTTCTGACCTTGGCAAAGCGTGTCTGCGGGGCTACATTAAGGCCTGCGTTTTTTAGAGCTGCGATTCTCGCTGCAATGTCTGATACCTGATGGGAAAAAAGTAAGAGAGGTCAGGAATAAATCATTTTACTACATGTTTGTATCAATGTCTGTTTTTGTATTGAAAAATATTATACTCTCCCTTAGTGAAGTGTAAAAAGGACACTAAGAGCTGGAAAGAATGCTATATTTGGCCTGGAAAGAACAGTTAGGAAAAGTGGACAATGTCCTATTTTATTTTTATTAGGGAAGCTACACATTCCCTAAAACTGTCCTGCAGTCTTACAGAAAAACGACAATGACTTTCATTGTGTGAAGGAGCAGAGCAACTAAGCAGGACACACCTGGAGTTCAGACTGCTGCACTTGGGCTGCGACTGAGGCCACTTGCTCCTCCAGGTGAGCCAGTTCTCCCTCTGAGGTGGCTCCACTGATGCTGCGTGCACACTCCTCCAGATCACCCAGCTCAGCTTCTAGACCAAACACAGCACTCGCGGCCACATAAACCTTGACAGCCACAGAGAGAATGGTGTGCTCAGTCTTACAGTGACAGTTTGGCAAAAAATCAAAGTTCCACAATTTTGTCATTAACTCAAATATAGTCAATCAACCAAGACATGCTTTGTATATGAAGTTTCCTTCTTTCGTTTTTCTGTAGAGCTACAAGGCCGATGTACCTAATCGTCACTGATGAAACAAAACTGTGTATCTCCGTTATTGTTTTTGTCACATTAACTTACTTTGATAGTCTAGAATGTTTCCTCCGTCTCCTGTAAAGTTAGAATTTTGGAGATACAGTGTTTTGTTCTGACAGCAACATAAAGTCGCTGACTTGGTTTACACAACACTAACTGGTGTACTTTCAGCTACACTGGCCTCCTAACTCTAGTACAAAACCAACCAAACTTGTGATTACATTTGTAGTAAGACATTCGATCAAACTGTAGAAATTTGATTTTTTGCCAAACTATCGCTTAAATCTAATGACTTGGGTTTGTTGTTTAGAAAACAGTAAAACTGTGCCAACTGAAATAATCTAAAAGTGTAGTGAACACTGCAAAAAACTTATAGAGTCAACATCTGTGTATTAGCTATTGGCTGAGAGGTGATATAGTATATATTTGAATCCTACATTCTCCTCTAGTCTGCAGAGTTGCTCATCCAGTCTCTTGCTCTGGGCTGGAGGGAGTGAAGGCAGGTCTCGTGATTCTGACTGTCCGATTCCGTCACCTGCTGTGCCTTGAATTAGATCTTCAGTGGCATTCAGAACCTTCAGCACCTCAGTTGTGATACTGCGAAGTGATGCAGCAGTATACTTCTACAAACACACCCAAGCACGCACACACATGCACACACACACACACACACACACAAAACATTCATTTAGGGTGGATCAGTGATTTCTAGTGACGAAAATGTATGAGATGGTAGAGTTTAGCAGCACAACATAAGAAAGCAAACAAGAAGAACACAGTAGTTAACAAAGAATAGAACACGTCAGGACAGAAAAGCAGGTAGAGCCCTTTTCTGCTTTAAACAGCATGCATGAGAACCTATGCATGAAAGTTTCCATTTTAATATGCAAGAATCACCTGCTGCAGTAAAGTGGAGAGAAACTGCAGGTCTTTTTCTAAGTCCAGATTGTTACCCTTTCAATCACAGAAAGGGCAGAGAGAAGAAAAGGAAAAGAACAGTAAAACAGTACAGCATGAAGCAGACAGTGATTAAACAGTGTGTTAAAGCAACAGTTTGGCTAAAAATGAAATTCTCAAATACTTTATTTTTAGTACTCTGCACAGTATACGGTTATCTATAAACATTTAGCTGCATAGCTAAAAACAGTGGCCCAAATCCCAAATCCTGAATCTGTCTTTTGTTCATTGTTGTAGATGTCATACAATGTTGGAAACCACATAAGCCAGTCTATTTGATATTACTTTGAAACCTAACACAGTTAAAGGCAAGTGTGTGATGATTTAGGCATGCCGTTTGCACAGTGACGACTTAATGTAAAAGCTTCCATTGCTTATTAGCTCTCAGTTGATCAACTGCATTTGGGGTAAGGAGAAAACAGTATGAATTAGATTTTGGGCCAAATCATCACTTTAAATTTTGTTAGTTGTAAGAGAGACTACGGCATATTTAGCACAAATCTTACTTTGTAGATTTCCTCTGGTGTCAGAAACACTTCTTGACCATAGCTGGCACAGTCCAGATCTTCTTTGAGTATGTGGTCTTTACAATCACACTCTTCTGCTTTTACCACACAAGTATGTTCTTCTGTTTTCTCAACCAAGTCATGTTGACTGTCTTTTTCCATAAACCTCTCCAGTGCTTGTTCATTTCTACTCGTTCTCTCTTTGTTTTGTTCCACCTCACTATCATCCTCTATCTCTTCATCGTGTGTCATCTCTTCTACTCCTCTTTCTTCTGCCACAATTTCCTCTTCCTCCTCACTCCTTTCAGTATCTTCTAATGTGCTAAATCTCATCTTGCTGTTATGTGTGTCAATCTCCTCCTCCATGTTATTCACAGTCCTGACTGCACTGTGAAGCATTATTTCATATTCTACCTCCTCCTCCTTTTTCATGAATGTAGATAAATCATGATTATCACTGTCTTGCTCTGTTTCTTTTCTTTCACTTGCTGTATCCTCTAAGCTGTCTTCTCTATTGTCAGCCGTGCTTTCAGTCTCTTTCATTTGCTTTTCAATCTCCTGACTCTTGACCTGTTGGCCACTCTCGGGTCTCTCTCCAACCGTCTGTCTTTGTTGCTCTGTTTCTGAAAGGCTCTCTGGCTCCTGGGGTGTACTTTCCTCAACACTGTTTTTTTCTTGCTCTGGCTCAGCAACATCTCTGTTTTTTCCTTCTGATCTGTCTTCCTCAATCTTTTCCTCGTTGATTATCTCAGTTGTACAACCTGCTATGTCTTCAGTAGTTTTAATCTGTCCCTCGGCATTAGCGTTATCAAGGTTATCAATTTCACTCTTCCCAAGCTCAGTAAGCTGTCCTGTTCTCATGCTGTTATAATCTAAGCACACACCCTGTGGAATTTCTCCTGATTTCTTCATCTCACTTTCACTTTGTTTATTTACTGGCTCCTGTATCTCATTATGTAGATGACCAATTATATCTGTAGTCAAGGTTCCTGAATTCTCAAACTCTCTATCTACCTGGTCTTCCTTCCTAATATCTTCTACAGCTGGCCCAACTACATCTTCTTCCAATGTTTGCTGGCGCTTTTGACTTTCTTCTACCTCCTTTGCCATCTCTGCTTCACTTATCTCAACCTTTAGAAATTTCTTGCATTCTGTTTGCTCTTCACCCTCTTCTATTTCTCTTGGCTCTTCCTTTTCTGCATACACCTCCATATCCCATAAGCCTTCCCCTCTTGCATCCTCTGCACTGTCATTTCCCTCTCTACCAATTTCTTCCACTCTGTCAAGCTCATCTTCAGTGGAGGAGAAATGTGTTTCGCTGACTTGATTGGCCAGTTCTCTAAGTGTGGATGTCAGTTTGTTTTCTAGGGAGCCACTTAGAACATGATTCTTTTCCAGCTCTGGCACAAAAGCATCAGGAGTCCCTGCCTCAGAGCTCTGAACATCAGAGGTTGTAGTGTCCATAGTCTGGTCACTCAGGAACTCTGAGGCACCCTGTTTCTTGTTCCGGTGTTTTACCAGAACATCCAGCAGAACCCTACTATAGTCCTGAAAAAGAGAAAACATAGTGTTATGATAAATGCTAAAATCAAGTTGCTCACTTGTTAATTCTGTCTTAAACAATCTCTTTTTACACAAAATAAAATAAAAAGAATCAGAAAATGTTCATCACATAAAAAATTTGTTTAGACTCGCAGAAGCCTTGTTTATTAGGTCCCTTTTACTTTATAGTCCATAATTTTTAATTGTGCAATTACTTCAGTAATTTAACTTATTCAAACAGATTGTAATGTATTAGCTCTCTAATCTTTTTCCCATCTTTCTGTGTAGAGCACTTTGAGAAAAAGAAAAGTGATTTATACAGAAAAATGACAAAGAGAATAAGGAATCTAAAGACTGAATCTATCTATGTAAAAGTTTATGCTAAAGTTTTCCTTACAGGTTCAGCTGAAGACAGGGCTGTGAATTCTTTCTCCTCTGCATACTCTCGTTTGCTTCTTCTTCTCCGTCGTGTCCTTTTGACTCTGCTGTCTTCTAGGCCATCTTCACTGCTTTCTGTGCTCTCTGGGTTAAAGTTAATATCCATGACGCTGAGGCGCTGAGAAGATGAGCGCTTGCATTCCAGAGGCACCTTCCTCTTCAAGAAAGGAAATGGAGATTTGTGGAATTTTGGCACTCGGGTGTCCCGGCCAGAGTCAGTCTGGGCCTGGTCAGCAGCAGGTTGTGTGGGAGATTTCAGTGTTGGCTGTGGGCTGGTGGACTGAAGGTTATTTGGCACGTTGTTTGAGGACATTTTGTTGCGAATCTCCAGCAGGGCTGCGCACCAGGTTCCATCACCGTCTGGTTCAGTGTCAGAGCCCATCCCATCATATGCAGAGACCACACCAGATTCCTTCTCCAAAGCACTGAACACCAGGCTCTTGCGTTTTGTCAGCAGGCTGGGTCGAGAGAGTTGGGTGCTCTGCAGCGCAATCCAATTACCGTCTGAACTCTGCAACACTGAGGACACAAACAGATGTGTGCAGCACAAACACACAACAATAAATAAAATACACGTGTTTTCAGACGAGTGCACATACATATATTTATAGCAGGGGCCATCAGTTCTGATCCTGGATGGCTGGAGTCCAGCAGAGTGTGGTGATTTGTTTGTTCTAACACATCAACTGAACTGAACTGTCAGGACCAAAATTTTATGAGCATTGTTGTACAGCATGTGCAAAAACATGCACAACATTCAAAAAAGACTCACACAAAAAACTTTAGACACAAGAAGGACATAGCAAACTGGTATATCACTGCAGGTTATACCAATATGAAAAGTGCTCCATTTAACCCTTCCACAGACGACCACCTGCTAGGGCTTTTTATTCATAAATTAAAAGGAAAACAATGAAAATAATTGAGTTATCAAGTTATAGGACTGAGGAATGGAAGTTTGGACCCAACAATCTAATTATAATGCTATAATGCAATCTTAATTATAATGCTAATTTTAAAATACTTGTGTATTTCTTTATTTCTCTGAAGCCATCTCTATCTAAAATGTAGGCTCAGAATGCACGATTGAGCATTCACGCATGTGATCCAGTGTATACTCAGACTCATACTGGAGTTGTCCAGACGGTCCACACTCTTCCAGCTAGGAAGAGTTGGGATAGAGATTCCATCCTTCGTCAGTCCCTGTGTACAGTCTTTACAGTGCATGGGTCTCTGCTGGGGTTTGCCATGCTGATGCTGCATTTCGTCAGTGAAAAGAGACAAGGCTGATCGGGACCTCTAAGAAGAGAGAAGACATGTTTTTTTAAAAAGGAGACAAACAGCAAAACAGTCACAATAAAATGCTACTGTACTAGGCTTGGGCACTATTTGTCTTTCAAAACTTTCAAAACAAGTAAATTCCCTAATATTCATAATATCAGAAATAAAAGACACTTTCATTATATAATTTCATAGTCTACACCTCTAATTTGACCCCTTTAGAATTTTGGCACAATAGCAGTGAACAGCTTCCTGCTGTGTCCACTTTCAGAAAAAGGGACTGAACATTTTTAAAAGACACTTTCTCAACTGTGTGAAAACTAATGCAATGAATCTTGTGATTGTGTTTTCGCATTCTTTGTATTTCAAACTCTGATGCTTGTACTTCATGCTATTCACAATTGTTCCAATAATGGCTGATTGTGTCTGAGTTTGACTTGTTTTTAGCTTCTTTCTAGGGATGATCTGGTATCTGATGATGTATTTATTGTACTCCAGAAAAGCAGAAGGTTTATGTCACTTGATACTTGCTAAGACATCTGCATTTTATTCATTTTATTGTGTTTGTAACCCAAAAGAAACATGTTATATTTCTCTGTAATGCTAATTGAAGTAGATGTAGTTCCTATTTCTACATTTTATAAATGTTCCTACTTCTTTCGCATAGTTAAACATCCATGGACAATGCTGACTGCCGTCCTATGATTGCCAAGATTGCAACAATAAAATGAGGCAATCTTAGCCTTTACTGTACTGCTTTTTTGAGGTTCATTCATGGTGTCTTTAGGAGGAGGCTTTCTGGCTCTGTGAGTAAAAGAGAAAGGCATGCTGAAGGCCACAGTACCCATAGGGAGGTCTTGGGGCTGGGCTGGGAGGCCAGGGCACTCCGGGGTCGATTGGTAGGAGAAGCAGTAGAGCTCACATCACTCTTCTGATCAGGACAACAGTTCGGATTATGCTCTGGCTGCATCTCAGACTGATCTGTCTTCCTGCGGATAATCTGAGGTGAAAGACACGTGAGTTAAAATGAGGCACTCATTTGTAATACCAGATACAAAATGAATGTTTCTTTAGAAGACCCATAAAACATAAGCTAGGTAAAGGTGCCATAAAATTGAAAGAGTTACATGGATAACTAAACTTACTTGAATAAAACACTGTGCAGTAGGGGGGTAAAAATGCATAGATGCACTTATCTGTTGGTGGAGATGCAACTGCATGGATTTCTTAAGGTTAGACACAATTCTAATCAATTACAATAATATTCAAAGTTTTTTGGAGGCTATCTTTATGTATAAAGTTCATAGGGTTATTTATTAATGTCAAAATAAAAAGCCTAGTTTATTGTATCTTACTACAATTGTGTATTCTGTGTAATTTAACCAATAATTTGTAATTTTCATTGAAATGCAATGGAATCAAACCATGAGGTCAAATTTACATCCTTGCTGTGCTACGGATCTGTGAACGCATTGTTTCCTCTGCTACTCACTTTCTGTACAATTGTGGTGGTTAGCTCCTCTATCAGTTCTCCTCTGTTGTCCCGTAGGTAACAAGCTTCTTTCAGCTTCTCCTTCAAAAGAAAAATAGAAGAAATTAAAGTAATGTCATACTCTAGCAGTCCTGCAGGGTGATATCACAGGAGGTGGAATGAGATAAACAAGGGCAGTTCTGTCCATCTGTTCCTAAGGTTGGCAGAGGTTCAGAAGTTACACTAGCTGCAGAGCAGTTGATCTGAGCTTATGGTCACTCTATCAATGTGGACATAAAAGCATGCTGGGTAATCAGACTGCTTTAGTGTAATCCACAAGTTCAAGTTCAATATTATCAAAGTGGACTGCAGCTCAGATAATCAGACAGAACCTTTTTAAAGCTCAGTTCATTTTATGTTTTGTAATAAGCAGATGAATTGCTGGAAGACGCAAACAACTCAGCAGTATTGCAGTGCCGGCTTAGTGGATGGTCTTAACAGATGAAGAAGAACATGATTTCCGCTAGTGCTTAAAAAAGCTTTGTGATATTAGAAAGTGGACCTTAAAACCTTTCAGCCCCTGCAAACACAGGAGGTATGGTGACAATAACAATTCACTTCAAATACAAGCCAAATCCCCCAAGGCTGTCCTAAACAGAAACCCATTTCCACAAAGTACTGGAGCAGAAAAATCATTATAAGGACAGTACACTGAGTATCACTCTGAACACTCTCTCTAGCAGTGCTTCTGGAAATGCTTTTGAAATCCATCTTAATACAACAAATGTACATTTGCAAAGTAAAAAAAAAACAATTTTACAATTTTGTGGTTTGAATATCATAAATTCATAGGTTTCAGTTTTCACACACTTGGGATCTTCATTAATGTGCAAATTACTGTGCAAATGTCAGAGACCACCCTTTCATTTATTTCATGTCCAGTCAAAAAAGTCATTATGTACAAGTTATTGTTTGCAGCATTAGAGGGAAAAAGCAGCTAACATACAGTATTATTTATACATAATATACAGTAACATTAATATAATATTGATTTTATGTATGTCAATGTGTTCACGTGACCCTTTCTAATCATCTCCTTTTTACTGTATTTATTATTCATTCATTTATTCTAATGAGATATGGTGTTTTTACAAGCACAAAACTCTTGCTGCCAGGACAAATGGTTTTAAATAATGTGCTTAGTGTGCTAAATAATGTATATTTTAACAGACAACTGAACAGAAGCCTCAACAACTAAATAAAATATAAATTTTAAAAATACATAATTTTTCAGTATTTAGTGTGTAAATCCTTCATTACAGCTTCCCATTCTTTTCTGGAGACTTACTTTCAGTTTTTCAAAGAAATCTTTTCCATACCTCCTAAGTTCAGTCATAGAAGTTAGTTACATTTTCTGCTTCTCAAAATTCAACCAACCTCAACTACAAATAGACTTTTTAGTCCATAAAACCTTACTCTCCATCTCAGATGTCCAGTTTCAGGTGTCCTAGTGCAAATTTTCTTCTTTTTTGTCTAGTTTCTCAGTAAGGGCTTCTTGACAGCTATACATCCTTTGAGACTCATATGGCAGAGTTGTCTAAAGTTTTCAAAAATGAAAACTTTAAGTACTGTTTATCTGATGAATGCCAGTTTTGGTGGTCACAGTTGTTTGAACAGCAATTTTGGAAATTTCTGTGTTTTCACTTTCCCCTTCCTTATGCAAGTGGATCATCTTGAATCTAATCTTTTCAGAAATATCCCTTTTTGCTATTTTAGATGCACATGAGAAAGAAATCTGTGCAGCAGTTACGGAGCATTTGGGTAGTTGCTTGTGTGAATGTTAGCGTCTCTTTGAAGTGACACCTTTGTGGACAGGTTCTGTTAGCAGGACAGCTATTTCTAAGGTTTTTAGAATGAAAGGATGGAAGAGCAGCAGTAGAGTGAACAAAAGGAAAAACAGACAAATTAAATACATACAGATTTGAGATTATACTTAGTGTTGTTGTAGTTTTCTGTTAAATATGTTTCCTTTTTTTCCTGACACTAAAAAATTAATAGTTGCACTTTATGGACACTTTGATGGAAATTAAGTAAATGTAATGGTGGCAACTTCTGCACAATACTGTACATATGCAATATTAAAAAGACAGAATAAGTACTTGGTTGTCTCTTTGACTCTCAGCCTTGGCGATGGCTTCATCTATGGCTTCTTCTGCCACACGCAGTGCCACACCGATGGTCTCTGCCATGCTATGCTCTGGAACAAAGCAGAAAAGCATTTCCTCAGCACAGCAGATCACAATATAAATGTCACAGTACAGATGTCAAACATAATGTGCCCATTATGCGATGTACCTATACTACTATATCTAAACCAAATATTCCAATCTGGACTCTGACCAGGCCAAAATATGAGCCTAATGGATTTGTTCTCAAGCCACTTCTTTGTGGTCTTCACAGTGTGAGCAGGAGCAATGTCTCATTGAAAGATAACGTGATCATTCCTCTTTAGAAAACAACTTTTTAATTGTGGGAAGCAAGCCTTTCTGTAATATTTTCCTTTACTTCAAAGCATTAATTGACTTTTGACAGTGAAGCAGCTCACCAATACCAGCAGCTGAAAAGACTCTCCATACCATGACCTCTACTTCTATGTTTAATGGTAATAGAGTTGCATTCAGAGTTGAAATTCTCACCAGATCTTCAAAGACACTTTTCTGGACCATCACCATGCAACTCAAATCGTGATTCATCAGTCCACACAACTTTGCTGAACCACTCTAAATCAAACTTTCCATATTCTGCTAAAAACTTAATTCTGTCCTTGACTTTTTTTTAGACAGCAATGGTTTTTTAAAACATCTTCTACACCCAAAATCTGCATTAGATAACCTTCTGGTTATTCTCAAAAGAGTCTTGTTTTCTACGGTCATGAATTTTGCTGACAGTTTTTGAAGGCTTTTTTCCTGTCTTTGAGACCTGTAAACTTGCAGCACATGGTCATCTCTGTTTGAAGAGGCTTTGGGCCTTCCAGATCCTTTCTTTCTGGCAACATTACTTGTTGTTTCAAAGCATTGATCTATTCTCTTAATAGCTGATAATGAAATAGGAATTTGCTGTGCCTTTAGGGTCTTGTAAATTTTAGAACAGCTGCACTTGGCCTGACAAAGTCCAGCTATGTGGTTTCTGACAGCCATCCCTGCATGATACTTTGCTTTTTTGGGAGCAAATTTTCATTTACCTTGGGACTCACAAGACTGCAAGATTTCTACCTGTAGATATCAGTCACTACTGGTTCTATTTAGGACTTTGTTTTCAGATTTGTGATTGGGCTGCATCAGGTGTGGCAGATTACCAAAATCATGACTAATTGTTTAAGAAAGAAAATAAAACAAGCCAAAATATATTTTGGAAAATTTTGAACACCTTGACATGTATTAGTTAGAGTTTTATAGCAAACATTTAAATATTTTAATGATTTTATCTTTGCATACAAGAAGGGTATGTAAGTGATTTTTCCTATTTCCAGCCCCAACCCCCCAGCAGTTCACTGCAGCAATGAGCAGTGACGAACAAATGGTGGCACAGGTCTCAGGAGTGCATAATTTCGGACCAATGATTAGTTAGGACCATTAAAAGCTTAATGTTTTGCAAGTTGGGGTTTAACCTTTTTTTTCAGGGGTGTACATTATAGTTTTCTGCATGCTAGGAGAAGCAATAGGATCAAATAATACCCACATGTGTATATGAATGTACTGCAAATAAATGATTCTATGTAATTCAAATCTAATTGAGCCACTTACCTTCACTATGCTTATAGAATGTGGAGTCGCTCTCATACACACTGTCTCCATTGCCCACACTTTCATCATACGTACTTCCTTCTGTTAAAAACAAAGTTCAGGTGCAATTACTCTTCTAATAATAGGAAGACATTTGTGCCCAACTTAAGCAATCTGTGCAAGAAAATGCAGCAAACACATTCTCATTTGCATTGTTGGTTCATAGTTTTACACTGACTTTAGTGACTTCACAAGAGTAATTTGCCAACTTCATAACAGCAATACTGAGAGACTCTCAGTTTAATATTAACCTCAGTAAAATCTTTTGCAAGCTCACAAAACTTTTTATCTTTTAGTTTTTCAAGTGAAAATTTGTATTGTCCTAGAAAAAAAGACAATTTCTGTCCCCACAACATCATTATCCTTGCTTTGCCATCTCACACACACATATACACACGTAAAGAATTTTCATTTGTGCAACTGCATTACTGAGGTCTTGTGCACAGAATTATGGTTCTTATCCCAGAACTGTTCTCCTCTACTGGGTTCCACTTCATTCACTTTGCTGAAGGCTTCATACAAGTTGACTAAAGATAGATTAAACCAGCAAGACTGGACAGACAACATCAGTGCACTAATTAAAACTGCACTGAATTTAGTTATAACCTATTTTGTATTAAATGGTAAAGCCAAAAATCTAACTCACACAACTCTCCTCTTTTGAAGGTCTTTAGTTTTGGTTCTTTAATGTTGCACTGGACAGTAGACAGAACCCTTCTTGAAAACCATCTAGCTGAATCATCATTTTCACAGCTCAAGTTTCAAGCTAGCAACAAGCCTCAGCTAACAACTGTTGATATGATTTTTTTTCTGACAGGACACCTGTTATGGAGACAGGCTGTCCTAGACAGCAGTAATGGTGCCTCTAGCTCAGAAAGCACTTCAGAGGAATCTAGACTAAAAGGACATGACGGAATCGCAATATCCAACACTCAATTTAATAGCCACGCTGACGCTTCTGCAAACTACGTGCAACGTTGGACGTTTTTGATGGACAGCCGATGAAACAGACAGGCCTCACATGACCCCTTGTGGTCTTTAAAGGCCTCCCCTGAGCTGCTGAAGGTCAGAGGACCTCTGATGCAACCACCCATTGCTTGTTGAAAAATATCTGCCCTTTCCAATCCCACAAGTTCCATACACACTCAGACATTAGAGGAGAAAAATATAAAGTGAAAACTATGAAAACATTTCAGATTATTTTGTCTTTGCCTTTATTGTATTAATGGATTGTATATAAAAAGATAAGATATACAACAATATATTGGTTTGTCTATATGTGGTCTATATGTGCTATATAAGTGCATACATGGGAATAACTAATTTCTTAATTAGTCATGAGTATGTAGAGAGATGCATGTACGATTCAAACTCCAGCGTTTATAGGTGCTCCTACTCATCTCTCAGGTCACAGAGGTCTACTGAGGTGACAGTCATGCCCAGGCACGCTTCCTTATCTGCAGTGAAAGTGCTTCATCCATACCTAATGTGGGCATGACTGACACTTACAGCCCTTATCTGCTTCTCCTCTTCCCCTGTGTTGGTTAGGTAACGCCAGTGTTGGAGCTGACAAGCACAGAACCATACAGCCCTGGAGCTCTGTGATCAAGTCACACTGTGACTAGACTCATGTTCACCGAGTCCAGAAAAACAGCAGCAAATGAGAAAATGGGTTGTTTTAAGGATCAAGTGGGAAATATTTTTACACTTTCAAAACCACAAAATTTTATCATGTTACAATTACTTTTAACCTATATTCATGCAATTACATGCATGTGCATTCATACAGTCTGCTTTCCTGGTTTATTTATTTGTGCTGGAGGCTACAGACACATAGTCTGTTGTTACACAATCACATTGGACATGAGAACAACCTGTTCAGACTCATTTATGCTATGAATATGGATACGGACAAAGCCTTCTGTCCATACTCTGTGTTCATTTTGCCTGTATTTGTGTACATTCTCGAAAAGCTGACGGATACGGAACAAACGGAGCAGTACCACCGGAAGCCGTAGGGGCAGCGTAGACAATAGTTCACGCGAGACGCAATGCCAATTTTTCTCATTGGTAATGCAAGTAAAAAGAATTCTTTGTCCACGTGTCACAAAGTAATGGACTCATAGACAGCCACTGTGTACCCTGGAGCCTCTTTTGTCTCTTCATGTAGCTGGTATGTAGTTGGTACATTATTACGACCTCCTCCACTGTCACCATGTTTGTTGTTGTCAGAAACTTTTTACTCTGGACTGCTCTCTAGTGGATGTACTGCTTAACATCCATGCCAACGTAAAAAACACATGAAAGTATGTGAGCAGTGACGGTTACATCGTTTGAAACAGACGTGTTCTTTTTCATAAATTAAGGGAGTGTAAAAGAGCTGCCACTACCATTCTTTAGGAATTGATTCAGTGCATCAGGACATCTTAAAATCCATCACAATTAGATTATTTTGGCATGATTAGGCATTAATTTTAAAAATACACTAAACATTTTTTTCGTCATGTATGGAAAAAAGCCCACAAATCTGATTTTAGGCAAAAAATAAGGAAACACATATCTGAATGTTATTGTAATTGATAATCATTGACTCTATCAATACAGCACTGATGCTTTCAGACTGAAGTATTTTGAAGTATTTTACTATTTTACTGCTGATTAATAGAGCGTTGAATTAACACCCATTGTTCATTCAAGACCAGTGTGACATTAACATGTAAGAGGTAATTTAACTCTGGGAACGTGCTGTGTATCATTTGGGTAGATTCAGAGAAGCACCATTAAACCCATGAAAACACTGTACTGTGACCTTTCCTCCAATTCTATAAAATCTCTTGAATCAGAACCAGAGGCATCTGTCATAAATTTAAGCTGCTCAAAGTGCTACCGGGAAATGAGTGCCTCTAGGACAGGTTTTCGGTCCCTGAATCCAATTTCTGGTGCTGGATTTCATAGTTAATTTACTTCATACAGCTGGGCTTTTCAATTCCAGTCCTACTTGTGCTTTGCTTTGCATGCTCTTAAGGCTTCCTTGCACCAGCATATCATGAAGGGCTTAATAATTAGCTGATGAGTTGAATCAGTCACATAAACACCTCAATTATCTACCAATTATTAAAGTAATCCTACAAAAAATTATCCCACAGCACACAGAAGTGCTTTTAATAATAGGAAGCTATTATTATTAGTTTATCCATCACACTGTAAACAAAACTCTATGAGCCTGGTGTACTAAGCCCTTTGTGCCAGTTTCAGGCACAAATTGGATGCATTATGCACAGCGTGTTGTGTATCAAGCTGGTGCACAAGCCAAAATAGTGCAATTCATGGGCCATGTGCAAGATAAAATCCGTTTCCCAGCAGAAAGACTTTCTTAACCAACAAACCCATACATACATCATCTAAACTGCTTATCCTTCTGGGTCGCTGGAGCCTATCCCAGCTGTCATTGGGCAGAAGGCAGGATACACCCTGGACAGGTCACCAGTCCATCGCAGGGCAGACAGACAGACATACACAGTCACACTCACACTCACGCCTAGGGGCAATTCAGCATGTCTGCATGTTTTTGGACTGCGGGGGGAAACCAGAGTACCCGGAGGAAACACGTGTCAGACAAACTCCACACAGAAATGGTTGCCCGGCCGGGAATCGAACCGAGGCCATTCTTGCTGTGAGGCGACAGCGCTACCCACTGCGCCACCGTGCCACCACCAACAAACCCTCACAAGCAATTAGTCTTAGCAGTGTTAGTAAATCGAACATTAAATTCATGGTGGGTGCATACTGCAGTTACACCAATTCACATGCTGCTTCTTCATTTTGTCCTCTTATTCTACATCAAAAACAACCTTGAAGTCATAGAGAACTGAAGGCACACCTGTGAGTTCAGCCAGGCTGCCCTGTTCTGCAATGTGCCTCCTGTAGAGCGTCTTCAGCACTTTGGCGCTGCCAAACCTCTTAAAGCGTCTCCTCACATTACTGTAGAACCACTCCAGAGACTGGGTCTTCAGCAGTCTGCAAACACACAAACACAGCATGACTGTGCATTACTACAACCTGCTTTACACTGTTTAAAGTAAAAGCCAAACAATCCCTTAAAATTTAAAGGAAAATCAATATCAGTCTATTGTAGTAGGCAAAGAATACCACACCGTGATGGCTGATGATTCATGATGGCCCTTGCTATTGGAAAATTTCTGCAGAGTTTGGGACAATATCAGGGGTTTATACTACCGTCCAGCCAAACCTCATATCTCCAAAATGGCAACTTTACAAGAGAGGGAAAAAATGCTCCTAAAAGCTATTTTGTTTCGACTGCAAGCAGTATTCATAAAGTAAATGCTTACCAGAGCGAATTCTGAGCTCTCTGTGGCAGTGTTTTATTTGTTCTTGATTGTGGCTTTAAAGATTAACTTAACTGCGTTGCTTTATCACAACACACATACTCTTGAGGACAAATGAGTTGTTTCTGAATTAAGCCTGACCCAAGTGCTGCGAAAGGAACAGTTCTCCCCGAGAAACAGATGGCTCTGAACTAGACACTTTACCACTTATAGCTACGCTCCCGCTATACCAGAGATACTACACTCTTCAGAGATTATTTGATCTAAACTGGAATTATTTGCACAATTGAACTGAACTAAACGTGCAGAAATATGCATATTGCTATGTTTTACCCCTCCAAAATATTTACCATATTTTGACATATTTCACATTGTGATACAATATGGTATACTATTATATCAGAATGTCTTTTTAGTGTCTACATGTAACAATTGTTATTTAAACTTAAGTAATTTTGACAAGGAACAGACAAGGATCAAGCAATAATTCGAGTACACCAGTGGTTTTCAACCTGTGGGCAGCAGCCCCCAATAGGCAGTTGTGGTACTGCTAGGACGCTGTTGGCCATCAGGTAACTGCAAAAATTCATTGCCATTTAGGCATTTAACCAACTGTAATTTTACATATGACAAATATTGTTCATTATAAGCAAAATTAAAACATCATATTTATATGAGCTCACTGATTGTTCTGGCAAAATGCTAGCTATTAATGCTATTTTCAGTGCAAGTCAGTGTAAAGCATTTCACTTTTCAATTGTACGGAGCGCATCCATCATGGTTAAATGTTAAAAAGGGTCTTTCAAAAAGAAAGATCCTGAGTCTTGACGTCTTGCTATCTACAAGCAAACGGTATCTCAGACTGAGAAAATTGAGCAAGAAAACACAGCTGTGAATAACTAGTCCTAAGCTTCATTTTAAAGTTTCAGGTTTCAAGTTTTATTTGTCATTTGCACAACATGTCAGGACATTCATGCATTGAAATGCTTGTGGTGAGGCACAGGTAATCACTCTACAGAAAGTAACCAAAGTAAAAAATACAAAAGAAAATACTAAAACTGAGATATATTAAATATCCACAAAATATACACAAAATATAGAGACAGGATGGACCTATGTAAGAAAAAAACTCTCTGCTATTTACAAATATATTTATATTAAACAAGAGATAATCTGTGAAGACTATATACATTTATGTAAGAACTGAAACCAAGCAACTGCTCCTCTGCGCTGTGTGCTAAGAGGTCTTTTTAAATGAAGCTCTGAAACCCATCTATTTACACAGACACTAAGAGACTAAACAGTGAAAATGTATCTAAACCTGTCGAACTGAGCTAGAAGTCCCCTTGCAGCTTTCTTCTCTTCAGCCTGACATCCAGCATTCGGTTGATGCCAAACAAGATCAGCTCTTATTAGGTAAGTCAGAAACAACAACCTGATTGATTAAATCTTCTTGTGAACCGTGGAAGCCTTTGTTTTCGTTTGTGTGGCCTGCAGGTTGCAAAAGGCAGGGAACCCTTGTATACTATACAATAGTGTATACTATACCAATCATCAACAGTGTATAGTATACCAATCATCAGGGAGGACAGTGTGATTTCACCCGAGCCTTGCCAAAGCTTTTCTAAAACATGATCATGAACAAAGACTAAGAACTGATCCTAAACATACAGAATGTGCTCATTTGTGTACATAAGATCAATTTGTATGAATATATAATGCTTCGTCACCTTTACTGCCCCCCTGAGTGACAAACACTCTGAACAGTGAACACAACTCTACACTGCAATAATTTAGAGTGGGGCATTCTGAAATCAAATAACAGTGATGGATATTATCTGCCATTCAGAAGACAACTGCCCATAAACTGCAGGACAAAGAATGAAAAAAACACCCAACTTAAAAAATGAACAATATTCTTGACATTTATTTGGCTCTTGTGGGTTTTAAATGGATGTAATGTGATAGTTTAACTATATTCATGTCTTAAAATGCTTTAAAAGTGTACAAAAAAATTAAAAAGTAGAGCATTTTTCACAATTACAGTTATTTAAATCTGAATTGTACTAACTATGGATGCACCAATAAGGGAATGTGCTGTTGCTGGCACACATTTTTTTTTAAATATAAAAAATGGGATTAAATATTCCTTCAATAGCATTATAGACAAATGCAACATGTATTTGTACAGGATAAAAAAGCAGTAAAACGAATAAAATGCATTTTATTGTAGTAGCTAAATGTCACTTCAAAATCTAGCTCTTCTGGAGAATAATATATACATCTTCAAATATCAGTTTGAAATGCTGGTCAAATCTAAAATGTTTAACGCCAATATATTTGCCCATATCAATTAAATTCCAATGTCATTGTGCAACCCAAGTTTTAACTGTGGTGAACTAGAAATGTTATAGTATTAATCAAAGTAGCTAAGTCAAAGTGAAAAGCCCAATGCTCTCATTTATTGAGCTCTGTGCAGTGTCATGCAGTGCAATACATTTTTGATGGTTAGGGGCAAAGCAGGCAAATGTAATAAAGTTCCATTAAGGAAACAACCAATTTCCCATGCAGTCTGTATATTAGACATAATACCCATTAACACACTTGCAATCACAGATCTCATTAGGGATGCAAGGTTCTGAAATTTGAATTTTTAGCAGAAGAATATAATTCCTATTAATTTTCATAGAAATTATGTGTTAAACACACAAACATCAAGAAAACCTACAATAAAGATGTAAGCAGCCCATTTCATTAACCTTTTCATTAAGCCCATTTCTTTAGCCCCTTTAAATGATCTGTGCCTAGTAACAGCGTCAGTACCCTCTGTCCCTTTATCAGTCTGGTTATGGTCAGGGCAGTGTAGCGCTCAGGGTTAAAATCACTCACCTGCTCTTCTTGCAGGCGGAGCAGAGCCAGCCTTTGTCGGTAGTGGAGTAAGAGCAGCAGCGTTTGCAGACGTTGAAATGACAGTCCAGGCAGCGACGGCGTGGCTTGAGCAAGAAGGTGAAAGGCGAGCAGCAGCGAATGCAGCAGCGCTGGTTAAAGCTGCGCTGACGCGAGAGCAAAACACACCGGCTATCCTCCTCATCCAGCTCCTGCTTCAAATCACTGAGAGAGAGAGAGGGAAAGAGTGAGTGGGTGAGCGTGTGTGTTTGTGTGTATGTGTGAGAAAGAGAGCAAGAGAGTGATGAGTAACACATACACCGAATGTAAAAGAAGAACAAGAAACTGAAAGAGAGAGACAGAAAAAATGAGAAAGGAAGGAAAGAACTGATAAGGAGAAACGCATTTTATAAGAAAAGGACAGTAAAAATAAAAAACTAGGTAATAAAGCCCATGCATGTTGCTGGAGTGAGTGGTGTAACACACCTTCCCTCATGAGTGCCATATTTATTCAGTGCTCTTCAAACAGAAATTTCAAATGTATTCGCTGCAATTTCAGCCTTCCTAGACAAGAGAGTAATTTTATACTGAAAATGTGAAAATGCCTATTTCAATGTAACGACTATTTTTGGTCGTTAATGAATGAATGAACGAACAAACAAAGGAACGAATGCTCTTCTTATGTTCAAAATACAAGCCACGTCAGTTAAGTAGTAGAACTTTTCCAAGGGAGAGAGGGAAGGAGAAAGAGAGAGAGAGACTGTGCACCTCTGTAAGGTGCAATGTAAATTCAGGGCTGATTTCCATCTGCTTAGCCTTGCTGAACACAGCCCACAGCATACTCATTATCAGTGATTACAGACAGCAGCCTGGGCTGATTAGGTTCAGTAAACACATGCACGCACACACACATACACACATATGAAAAAGAGAGAAAGCATAATCTCACTAGATTAAAAACAAGCAGATAAAAAAATGTTTGGGTAAACAGCTATTGCATAATGATATAATACAGAGTGAAGGGAGAGGATGCCACTTTTACACTGGTGTTTGTTCTGTTGCAAATGCAATGTTTTAATGAGCAATAGACAGATGAACTTTCATGACACTTCTCTATTTCTCAAGGTTCATATCTTTCACGATTCTACACAGTACTGACTGCAGAGCAACTCCGGTGTGCTCTGACACTTCAAAGGCATGAAATCCAGGTGCTAAGACTTACACCGAACAGGCGTAACATTATGACCACCTCCTTGTTTCTACGTTCATTGTCCATGCTGCACAGTTTGTGTTGATCATTCTCTAGTCCTTCATCAGTGGTCACAGCATGCTGCCCACAGGACGCTGTTGGCTGGATATTTTTGGTTGGTGTACTATTCTCAGTCCAGCAGCGACACTGAGGTGTTTAAAAACTCCAGCAGCACTGCTGTGTCTCATCCACTCAGACCAGCACAACACACACTAACACACCACCACCACATCAGTGTTACTGCAGTGCTGACAATAATCCACCACCCAAATAGTACCTGCTCTGTGAGGGTCCATGGGGGTCCTGACCACTGAAGAACAGGGTAAAAGTATGCAGAGAAACAGATGGACTACAGTCTGTAATTGTAGAACTACAAAGTGCACCTGTATAGTAAGTGGAGCAGATAAAATGGACAATGAGTGTAGAAACGAGCATAGAAGTGGTTATAATGTTATGCCTGATCAGTGTAATGCATGTCTGTGTAGATTAAAAGACCAATACACAGTGTTTTGCTTTACAAACTAGTTAATGCAGTAGGCCTGGGTGACAGGGTGATGTAATTTGGAACTGTCGATGACTGACAGGTAACCTGCTTCAAAGGCGATAATTACTGTTTTAGGAAAGAGACCTGACAGAAAACTAGAGAGGACTAATTTCTTTTTAAACAGCTTCCTAAATAATAATACATAATGTGTACATAATTAGTACATAATGTTTCACACCCCCTTACAGTTTAAACAATGGAATCTATTGCTGAATTTCCGAGTGCATTTACTGTAAGGACAGAAAACAAACTGTTTTTTTTTTATATGTAAAGCACATGTATGTGGATTTGAAACTCACTTGTTAAGCGCACACGTGCTGTAGCCAGACATTTCTCCAGCTGGAGGCACTGTTAGCATGCAGTAGTCATGAAGGAATCCCACAGTTAGTCATTTGAGGAAATTATCTAAGCCTACATTGAAGTGGCACAAATCAGATTTTTTGCCCTAATGTGACTCAGATCTGATGTTTTCAGAGCTGTGTGGACACGCAAATCTGATTGTCAAATCCGACCTGAGCCACTTTCATTTGTGGTCCTAGATCGGATACGTATATACATATGAGGCTTGTAATGTGAACGTAGCCTAATTGAGATTTTTCGGACCAATACTGCAATTGCAATTTAAATATGTATAATATTTTTTGGCAAAAGGGTCGGCATATTCATTTTTCTAGGCTTGAGGTTTGTTAAAAAACATAAATGTTACAAAATGCATATAAGCTAAAAACAGAACAGAAAGTAGGCCTAAACTGCAGGGGACTGTGTGTGTGTGTGTGTGTTCTGGGGTAATAGTAATCTTTGAACAAGAAAACATCATGCTAACTAATTTTATGAATCACCCAGGCCTACGAATGCAGCACTATCCACCCTACTGCCACCAGATTCCACTAATACATACACAGATCCGTGCCAGTACAGATGCTGCAACACAAACTGCGCTTTACAAACAACACAATAACTCAAAGAGAAAGAACAACCCTTTGTGTAGGTACCATGACTAAAAGTGTAATGCTGTCCACACAGTGGGCCATTTCCACTGCGCTCAGTGCTGGACTGTGCCTGTGGCCTGTTGTTTATGCGCTGAGGAGCTGGCACAAGCAGGAGAAGTTGCTCTGTGCCAAGAGGTCCAAACTCAACCCAGGTGAACAAAGAGAGCTCTAGAGCTTACAGCTTAAACTGCTGACCTATGCATATTCGTCCATTACGTAAAAATAATAGTCTTTTTAGAGCCAATCTATACGACGTAGAGAGCAGCAGATGGTTACACGATTTAAATGGTTGAAAACATTCTGTGACAAATGTAGGAAAACAAAAGGAAAAATAAAATGTACCCACATAAAAGGCTTAAGTAGAGTCAAGATTGGGGATTTCCAGCTAGCTTCTAATGCTACACTGATTATGACACACGTGTCATGACTCGACATCATGATACATCATGATTTCACAAGTGGATCGCCATGGTTAATGTTCCAAACAAAGAGGACACAATGCTATTATTTAGTAAGCTTTACTGGCCTTTTGTAGCTTCTACCATCTATGAGCATTAAGCAGGTAGTTCATACACACTGATGAAACTACTGAGATAGGTATGAAAACTCAGGCTCATAAATTAATGAGGGATATAACAGGTTAATAAATTAATGAATCAGCAGTCGAACATTTTCAGTCAAAATAGTAGTTTTGGTTTTGGCCAAAACAGAAAAACAACCAAAAATTTTGGAAAAAAAAGATTAAATAGGCCTACAACAAAGTGTAAAGCCACAGGGTGCTTTCACATCTACCTTGTTTGGTGCAGACCTATCAAACATTGTGTTTAGATATGGCACTTTTCTTTATATTGCTTTATAACAAGCAATAAAATAATAGTAAAGCAGGGCATTTGGTTTTGGCACGTAGATTACAGAATGTATTGCATCAGCAACCTGAATGATTACATTCACATTGACAAATCAATAATGAAATAGATATCACGTAAGGGTTATTAATATTATGTCAGACTGTGATACACATAGATGTTAAGCGTCTCTATTTTCATCCGAAGTAGGAGTTTTTGGTTCAAATATTGGCAGATGTAAAAGTAACAGAGCTCTTCTTGTTATTATTTATTCTGACCAGTAAATACTTATGTGTATAATTTGGTGCACTTTAGTCATTGTGTTTGAAAACAACCAAACCACACCAAAAAGATACAATGTCACAAAAACCCAAACTCTGGTTCGGACTTTAGCAAACAAACTAGGCATGAAAACAGCCTACGACTTCACAGTTAATAATGGTAATGAAATAGTGATTACAAATGCTCTTTGAACTAGAGCTGCAACTAATAGTAAGTTCCATAATCAACTATGACTTTAATCAATCGGTTAAGGAAAAGTGTGGCCAGTAGTCTGTCAATAAATACTTCATGTCATACACAATGTTTCTTTAAAAATATATTTTTTTACTAATTCAAGAATTATTTCTAGTTTTGCACAATGCTCATTCAGACATAAAACACCTACCCTATTTTCTAAATCATACTTTTATCAAGATCACTGTGACAAGATGCCTTCTGTGCTATTACCAAGCACAGAGAAGCAGCCTGGTTCTCAGCCATGTCAGACACGTAGGCCCATAAAGCATGTTTACCACTCATGAAACAGCAGTAAACGTGTTTTGTTAAACTAAAACAGAGCTGTCTGAAAAGCAGATACTGATATGCTGTTTTCAGCTTTTGACTACAGTTTTACTGCAGCTAACTCACCATGCTGAGCTTTTGTCTTTTACTACTGTAAATGTTTAGTGTTTAGTTTTGGTTGTATGTTTAGTTTTGGTTGTGCCAGGTGAGGTTCGTTTTACATATCGTACAGGAAATTATCTTTAAACAACTTAAACACATTTACAGTAGTAAAAGACAAAAGCTCAGCATGGTGAGTGATGCACATTTTGTACTTCTTTTAGCCATGCATTACCCCGTACTGGAGTCGCCACTATCTGTATTTTGCCTCTTTCATTCAAGTGAAGTAAATGGGGAGCACAAACATTATCATGACAACGAATCGTTAACAAGATCTGAGGCCAGCATTTTTTTTATTATCTATGTTATCACTTGTTGTAGCCCTAGTCTGAACACAGTCAAACAGTCTTAGCAGCAACAAATGAACACGCTGGTCATGTGGAATGGTTTCTAAGAGAACATTAGACAAGCAATCTATAATCTCTGTTTGTGTCATTTATGAAGAGTATATCCAACGCCCAAGAACTTCTTCAATTGTTTTTATTTATTGTGTGTTCTTGGTTTGTTTGGTTTTAGGCCCAGTGTATACTGAATTTCTGTTTCAATTTAGGCCAAGGATTGTCACTGCATTACTAAAATGATTACTGAAACATTGATTTAGCTCTAGTCATCAACTCTCTAGTCTTCACAATACTGTCATTTCCAAACTATTCTTT